CATGTGGGTCACCTCCCTGGACAGGGATTGAACTCATGCTGAAGCGGCTGTGGTGAGCTTCATGGTGCTGTGCTTCAACCCACTGAGCCACCAAAAAGGGCCCAAAACCTTACAAATTTTTAACTCAGATACACTTCCACGATTCCAGCCAAGTCTAGGATTCCTTTAGTCTGTTGCCCTTAGCATGTTTTCAGTGAGCACTTTGTTCAACTGTCACCTCAGAGACATCCATATTCCTCAAAAGAAAATGCCCCAAATGACTAAAATTTAACCCTGTATTCAGGGATAGGCAATCAAATGTCCTTCCGGTAAGCCAACTTGAGCTGAATCTTGAGCTCCTCTTTAACCTGGATCACTCATTATCACCTTCACAAGTATCGACTACTTTAATACCCTTTAGAGATGATGACAATGCAAGGGGTATCTGTCTAAAACAAAACTTTTTTAGACTTTCTGGTTCTATGCAAAGGGGAGACACAGCCAAGGAAGAGCGAGTCACATGGCATCGACACATGTCAGCAGTGGGCTGTTCACTCCTAACTCCCTGTGCCGTTCGCCCCCTTAATTTATTCCACAGCCCAAAACATGAACACGTTTTTAACAATGTTTTAAAAGAAAGGTGAAATGTAGCACTTGTTTAAATGTGGATATAAAAGTTCTGTTTAGATAAGGATAGGCAGAAGACACATATAAGGTCACTTTGTAGGACAAGACTGGGCTGCTAGTCCTAGCTGATACATGAATTCTGCGACATCAGATAAATTCATTTTGCTTTTTAAATTCTCATTTTTCTCATCTGGGTTAGATGATCTCACTAAAAAGTCTACAACTTAATACTACTTCATCCTGCTTTGCATAGTTTTTCTGCTCTGTTCTCTGAACTCAGCGACCAATTCTTGATGTTATTCACGGACCCTCCTGTTCCTGAGCCACAAACCCTCAGCCAAGGCCATACCCTTCCCAAACAGCTGCCCTTCCTCAACAAATGAGCAGAGGCTTGGCACTTCTGCCCAACGTGGACTCCTCAGTGATAAATGTCTGCAGTGAACTCCCTGCCTGGCTGGCCAAAACTTCTCCAGGTGAAGGTCTTCCCTGCCTCTTCTCCCTACCTCATCTACACAGAATCATCCCAAACAAATCTCTGGCATTCTCACTTCCTCACAGAGCCTTTCTCCCTAGGATTTAGATCCAACAATGTATTATAAAGATTGCAGGTGAACATAAAGGGCTGCAGGAGTCAGGATAAGAAAATGAATAGCAGCAGGATGTGCAGGGTCTATGAGAGAACAGCAAGCAGAGTGGTCAGGTAGAACTGGAGTGAGTCCACAAATACATAAAAACCCTAACTTCAGCCCACCCTGGTGACACAGCAGGTTAAAGCACAGCACTCAGAAGCTAAAGCCACTTCAGCATGAGTTCGATCACCAGCCCCGGAAGTGACCCACATGGCGTGGTGGACCTATCCTGACCCTCCCAATGCTCTCCTCAGCAGTGTACTTCATCAGTCAGCCTGTTCTGCTCCCCACTCTGTCTCTGGTGAAGCCTCTCACCATCCCTGCACCTCTGGTCTGTACCCCAGTACTGTATGCATAAATAAATCTTAAAAAAAAAAAAACCCTAACTCAATGACAGTATTATAAATCGATGTTATCGTAATAAAAATTTAAAAATTAGGCCCTCCCTGGTGGTGCAGCGGGTTAAAGCACAGCACTAAGAGGCTTAAGCCACTTCCACATGAGTTCGATCCCCGCCTGCCCCGGAGGTGACCACATGGCGTGGCAGACCTCTACTGACCCGCCCGCTGCTCCCATCAGCAGTGTACTTTGTCGATCTGCCTGTTCTGCTCCCCTCTATGTCTCTGGTGAAGCCTCTCACCCTCCGCATCTCTGGCCTGTACCCCAGTTCTATATGAATGAATGAATGAATGAATGAATGAATGAATGAATGAATGAATGAATAGAAAAATTTAAAAATTACATGATATTGTTGAAGTACACTGGGTCTAGACACATTTGAATGCTGAACTGAAACATTCTACTTCAAAGTTTCTGAATAAGAACATAATACAAATCCTCAAATAAAGAAGAAAAAAATCCCAACTGGAACACAATGTAAACACAGTGTCTAAAAAGCTCCCATGATGTTACGTGAGGACATATACTACATGTAGGTCACAAATAGGAAAATTCATCTGGAAAACGAAACTGCAGATAAGAAGGACATGTTATTGCCAAGGGATGGTTAAACTGAATATCCTCATAAGCCTCCCAACATAAAACATTTGGATAACTAAATAAAACAGAACATTTCTAAAAATGCAAGTAATGCTCTGTGGAAGGACACAGTGGGGCCAAAAGCAAAGAGAGTCCAGGAAACCAGAATATTAGCTGACGCTGAAGCCACGGTGAGCTTGGGGTGTTAGTAGCACAAGGGACAGAAGACAAGCTCTAAGTCCTGACTGAAAGGGCAATGAGGGGGGAAGGGACCTTCTTTGTCTTCACCTGGAGTGAGAGATGGGAAGTAAAAAAGTTTACTGTGAAAATTTGAGTCCTGCCTGCAAATGAGTTTGGCGTGATTTCCCGTAACTGTGTGGTAGGAGAAATTCCAAGCTGAGAAATTCCATAGTTCCAAGGGGCAACAAATACAACTCTTCTCTGGAGGCATCTACCTTTACATTAATTTTCACAGAATTTCAATGAAGTCTCTCTAAATATGGGCTTGCAACACACAACACAAAATGCACAGGGAAACAGCCTTTAAGAATAAGAATCTGAAGGAACATCAAACAGCAGCATAAGCCACCCTACAACAGGAACTTCAGATAATGGAACCACTGTACATGAGCCATAAAGAAACTATTTAAACAGTATGAAGAA